GACCTCTGAAAAAACCTTTTTTTTTTTATGTGGGTTTACTTACAAAAAGATCAAGACATTAGTTTGTAGGGCTCTTATGTATGGCGGGCTTGGTTGAGAAAGACATGGATCTTAGTCTTCTACTTTTTATTCACGTTTTTTTGTGTGTATATCCGAATGTCATGCGATTAATAAATAGGTTAAGTTAATGTTGAGACATAGGCAACCATTAATTAAGTGGGTCGGATTTAGAGTTAAATAGTACTCAGCACGGACCCAAAACAACACAATCCGGATATGACCCAATACAACTCTGATTTCACCCCTAAATTGAATTTCATTCTAGGGGTGGCTATATAGGCAAATTGAGAGCCAAGGGCCAAGAACAGAGATTTATGCTGCATCTGAGGACTTGCTTATTATGCAGGGCTATAGATGAAAATCTTATACACATTTATTTTGACTAGTTGGTATACATATGCGTTGTACATGACCTAGGTTGAAGTATAATTTTTGTTTGAGCATTTTAAGCTTGTATACTCTTCAAGTGCAGTCAATGTTTTAACTTGGTTCTTGAAATTTCAATTGTAACAATCAAGTCTTCAATATTTTAATTGATTTTAATACCATAGTAATATTTTTTAATTTTTTATTTTATGTATTTCAAATTTAAAATGAAGATTTTGTTGTTGATTTGGACTATTTGTAATTTGCTTAATTGGGGTGGCTGATATGGATCGAGGGTAGGATGGATTTATACTTGGCACATATGCCCTTTGCAATTCTTTAAACATTTGGACTTTTTGACTTTTTTTGTGTCTCTTCATTTGCGTTAAGCTCTTTTAACTTTCGTAACTTTGATTTGTAACGGCATACTATTTATTATGTTTTTATTACCTTATGCTCTGTTTGGTAAGGAAGATGAAAAATATGAGGGATACACTTTCTATCCTTCAAGAATAGAAAGTAAGAATAATATACTTTCTTTCTTTTGTGTTTGGTTGGATGGATGAAAAATAAAAATGACTATATTTTTTTTTTTTTGCTGGCTAAGATTAGGGGTGACAATCGAGTCGAGTCGTGTCGTGTCAGATTTGTGTTAAGTCATTACGAGTTTGTGTCAAATATTAGTCAAACTTAATTTAACTCATTTAACTAATTATGTTGTGTCGAGTTGCAAATTGACCTGTTTATTTTTGTATCGAGTTCGAGTCATGTCATCGTGTTGAGTTGAAAATTTTCACCCTTGGTTACAATGGAAAAAAATACTTTTTTTAATTTAAAATTTTTAATTTTTTTAAAATTTATTTTAAAGATTTTTTAAAATTTATTTTAAAGATTTTTTAAAATAGATATTATATATATATATGAAAATAATGTATACATAAAATATATAGACAAATAAGATACATCTCAATACAAATAATTAACTTTCAATTCACTTTCTTTCCGATTTTGGAATGATTGATTTTTGTAAGTCGGAAGGAAAATTAATTCATTCACTTTTCCATCATTCCTATTTTCCTTCCTTACCAAACATGATGTTTTATTTATCCCTCCACCTTTCCATCCTTCCACTTTTTCATCGTACCAAATGGAGCATTAATGCTCTGTTTGATATAATGAAAAAATGGAAGGATGAAAAGTTTGAGGGATAAATAAAATATCATGTTTAGTAAATAAGGAATATAGGAAGGATAAAAAAGTGGATGAATTAATTTTCCTTTCAACTCACCAAAATCAATCCCTCTAAAATTGAAGAAAAATTGATGAAAAGTTAATTATTTGTTTTGAAATGTATCTTATTTGTATATATTTCTTTTGATATATACATATATTATGTATACATTAATTTCATATAAAAATATAATAATAAAATATGTATTTATATACATATATTTTTTAAAAATAAATTTTAAAAAAAATGAAAAATAAATAAAAATAAAAGTAAAAGATTTTAAATTAAAAAAAATATTGTTTTCATCTTAAATAGGGTTGAAAATTTTTGACTCAACACAATGACACGATTCGAATTCGACACGAACTTGATTATATCTTAATACGAACTTGAAAATGATCTGACACGTGAACAATAAATATAAAAGGCTCATATTCAGTTCAACCAATCAAACTGAAAATTGACATCATTAACCCGTTTATTTAAAAATAAACACTTTCTTTATTTTCTCGTTTATATGGTAAGACGAAATTAACACGAAACTAATATGTTTAACTAGTATTATAGATATAAAATATTAATTATTTGTAACTATTTATTAAGTACTGACATAATTATTATATAAAAAATATATTTTTACTTATTATTATTATATTTATTTAAGTTAATTTTTATTTTGTAGAAAAAATATTAATATGGATTCAATTAAGTGAAAATAGAATATTAGAGTTAAATTTTTTTTTCAAAGTTTATGTAGGTCAACATGAATACGAACACGTACACCACATGAAAATAAATAGGTCAACTCACAACTTGACACAACACAATTAGTTAAATGAGTTGAGTTAACTTTGACTAATGTTCGACACAAACTCATAATAACTAAAAATGAATCCAACACGACTCGATTGTCACCCCTAGTTTTAGCCAACAAAAAAAAAAAATAAATTAGTCATTTTTTTTTCCATCTAGAGCATAAATGATAGTTGCAATTATATTTTCATCAAGCAGAGAAGAAGAAGACGACTTAAATAAAAGTAACTATTAACTTTCTCATAAAGTAATATACACCATTGATGTATTAAATTGTCATTGTTTAGATCAAGTAAGACAAGAAATTAGAGTATGATTGGATATAGAAGTCTAAGTAGGGATAATATAGAAAATTAAAAATTTTTCATGTTAAGATACTTTTATTAGTAGTATAAATATAGATATAGATAACTATAGATATTTAGCATCACATTTTCCTCCTCTTCACCTCTTCTACAGCAACAATTAGATATAGTAAACTGGTTGATGTAAATCATTCCGGTCGTGAGACTTGATCAACTTTCTTCTCCTTCTTCTTATTTTTATTATTGAGTCCAAATAAAACAAATCTCTCTTATTTGAGTCTATTTGGTCCTGAATCCTTAACTATTCAAAAGATTGTCTTATGCTAAAATTTGTCCAAATTTTTCTTGAATCCTTAATTATTCAAAAAATTGAAAAGAAAAAGTTATAGGCAATCCTATATGTTCGGATTAAACGTTTGAACACCCTTATGAAAATTCGAGTAAAACCCTCCGTTCACCTTTAATCACTCTAAAATCACTCTAACAACAACTCAAGCGATTAATAAATAAATAGAACAATGTAAAACAATTATACGCACACCAAGATTGAGATAGAAAAAATTCTCCATTTGTAGAGGGAAAAGACAAACTTAGAATTCATCCACAATAATTGACAAGTTACAATGGTTTATTATCTCAAGATCGTGCCTAAATCTTAAGATTAATACAATTGCAATGCACTCCAGGCTAAGTTATCAAGATAGATTACAATAAACAATGAAAATAGTATTACACATCACAAGCATCACCAATTACTAGAGCAATTACAACATATATACTGGTGATCCTGCCACAAATTTTATTTAATCCATAAGCGAAGGCTGCTCGAAGAAACTTTCATCCTTGCACCTTATTCCTAACAAAATTGGCAAACGTTGAATATAAGAAAATATAGCCACGAAGACGAACACAACAAATGGGGGGGAACACACTGATCTTTGCATGCATATGCTATCCAATAAACCAGGAAGACTCATTTTATATTACAAAAAAAAAAAATAAAAAGCATAAAAAAAGTGAGGCCCACTGAAAATCATGATTGAAGATCCACGATCAACGAAAATTTAAGAAAAAAAGTGCACAGTAGGTGGCAGATGAATCTTATTCTCTTTACTGTCTGACTAAAAGTATGAGTCATTTATGGGTTGGAGATGCATTTGTTTGGAATTGAGGTACAAGAAATTTTAAAAATGTGATCCATAATAGAAAATATTTTTAGCAAATGTCGCGGGATAAAATTAGAGTAGGATTTTTCACAGCAACTCAAATGACAAAAATAATGGAGCAAAAAAGATAATTATTTTCGAATTAAGAAGTGGTGGGTAAAATAGTGTCTTACCTTCTTGCAATAGATTCAAGACAAGTTTTCCAAGTGCACCATCCCAAACGTTGACTGGTAAAAATGTCTGATAATAGGGATAGAGTAATCCTACGTGAACTTAAAAATTAGATTTGATAATTACAACCATTGATTTCACTGTGGATCCTAATATTTATTGGGATCCACTATCTATTCAATGGTTGAGATTATGAAGTGCAAGAAATCCTAACCAAGGCAGCGCTTGGATGAAAGGAAGCACATCTTCTGTCAGTCTAGACCAATCCAAAATCAAATGCGTGAGGCTTCGAAGTGAGAGGAACCAGTGTGGCACCTTCTCTAATTTCCCCCTTAAGTGCAGAAATTGAAGGAGGGTGTTGGGTTTCCCTCCTTTGTGGGACTCATCAATTTGCTAATTTTTTGGTGGCTTACCCGTGTAGGACTCTTATCCAAGACTTGGTTTGGAGTCTTCAAGTTAAAAGGAATTTGGCAGCCACCAAAAGACTATAAGTTTTGTCCTTTTCTTTGGTTCATCTCTTCTCTGTTGGTTTGGCAAGAAGACATATTTTCGGCAGTCTTTGGTTCAACAAAATTCAGCCTTCTTCTTCTCCTTTTTTGGTGACAGAAAAATCTGCAAATTTGTTCTTCAAGTGGGTAACATTTCTTCACTTGATATTTGAGTTTCTTGCGGTTTGTTCTTGGAGATTTGGTTCACTTATTTTGTGAGGTATTTTCCTCTTGTGATTCACACCTTGGTGTGTTTGTAAGGCTTATGCCTTTTGGCCACTTTGTAATCTAATTTGGTGATAGTGGAAGAAACTGACCTATCGGTCGTCGTGGATGTACCTCAAGTTATTTGAGGGAACCACGTAAATCTTGTGTGCTTATTTATTTTCTGTTATTTTATTTATATTGCTTCCATTGATTTACACTTGTGGGAAAGCCTATTTTCCAACAGAGGGGGAGGAGCTGCAGTGAGCGCATCCATTCGCAAGGTTTCTGCCTCATCTTTCACCATCACAAATAATCGACGAAGCACATTCATATTTCGCATTGCGGTGCACAAGTCTTCCTCATCTGCTTCTCTTACCTTCGTAATGCCAAACCTTGTCAGTTGCGCCATGCTCTTAATGTTTCTGATTATTCACTTTTGCTTCAACACAATCCAGGACTTGCAAGTTCTCTAACTTGTAAATATTTAGCGGGGTTGGAATACCAAAAAGATATTCAAAAGTTTCACCTAGGTGAAGGTAGATACGGTACATAAATAAATGCCGCAAGTTCTTCAACTTTGTTATTCCAGTTGGAAGCACTTCTATTCCTGATCTGCGAATGTCAAGTGTTTGTAGGTTGTAGAGCCTTCCAATTGATTTTGGAAGCTCCTTCACCATTGTTCTCCTTAGGCTTAAATATTGCAAATTGAACAGATCCACAAATTCATCTGGCAATTTCTCAATTGGTGTATGTTCTAGATCCAATACCCTTAACAATCGTAAGCCAGGTGGCAATGTTACCAAAGATGGAGAACTCCTATAGTCAGTGAACACAAGAAGCGAACGGAGCTCTGACATGCCCTTTAATGATTTTATTTGCTCTTTTATTGTTTGGATAGATAAGCGACGTGCTCCACTCTCTTCACTTGCTTCTTGATCATCATACAAAGCAACAAAATTCTCGGCTGCCAGTATTGAAAGAGCAATTTCCCTTAAAAGATCATGTAGCTTACATCTTTTTAGCCTTCCTGATACATCCCTCTTCACAACTTGAAACATGTTTCGGTGAATGAGTTCCCTGAAATAGCTCTCTGCCACTTCTTCTGGTGTTATTCCCTTCACTTTTTCAACAAACCCTTCTGCCATCCAAAGTCTAATAAGCCTATTTCTTTTTAACTCAAAATCTTCTGGAAATAAACAACAATATAAGAAACAATGCTTCAATTTGTATGGCAGTTCATTGAAGCTCAGTAACAAGATAAGCTTCATCTTTTGCAGCGAGGGGTTGTTCCTCAACTCGAAATCCAAGTTATTATTAACCTTTTCCCACTCTGATTCCAGTTTCTTCGACTACATGGCACTACCCAAAGCCACAAGAGCAAGAGGTAGTCCTTCACATTTGTTGACGAGGTTCCTAGCCAAGATTTCAAGCTCTTGTGGACAACGTCTACCCGGATTGTTGGATAATGTTGTCACGGTAAAGAGCTCTCAGGCCTCTTTCTCTCCCAGTGGTTTCACATGGTGAACACGACTTTTAACTCCGAAAGAAGCTATATTTTCGTCTCGCGTTGTAAGTGTTAAGAAATATAAGGTTATTTTGTTTGTTTATTAAGGGTAGAATAATTATTTATTTTCCTTGTTTTATTTAGTTTATATATAATCTCTTTGTATTTAGGTTAAATTACTTTCTTGTATTTCAATTTAATTATGCGGTATCCATAAAACTCTAGCCTTCTCTTTTCTTATCTCTTATATTTTTTTAGATTGTTCAACATGATATTAGAGCAAAGTTTTATGGGACAAGACTTAATCTCAAACACAGTTTACGCGGATCTAACTTTTTTTTAGAAGGTATTTGTTCTATTTAAGCAATCTGATATTTATTTCGTTTTTGCAATCTGGTATTTGTTCTATTTTTGCAATCTAGTATTTGTTCCATTTTTTGCAATCTGATTTTCTTTTTTTGTTGATTATGGTTACTGCAAGAGACGATTCGTTTCAGTCTGTGAGTGTGAGGTTGGATGGAAAAAATTATTCATATTAGAGTTTATGTGATGAGAAATTTTCTTAAGGGTAAAAAGCTATGGGGATATGTTAGTGGAACTTCTGTGAAACCTAAGAATATTGATACGGGTTATGTTGATTTCATAGATTTCTGGAAAGCAGACAATGCAAAAATTATTACTTGAATCAACAATTCTGTTGAGCATTCTATAGGTACGCAGTTGACAAAGTATGAGACAGCAAAAGAGGTTTGGAATCATCTGCAAAGGTTATTTACTCAATCAAATTTTACAAAACAGTATCAATTGGAGCATGACATACGAGTTCTTCAGCAGAAAAATATGAGTATTCAGGAATTTTATTCTGCTATGACAGATTTTTGGGATCAATTGGCTCTTACAGAATCGACTGAATTAAAGGCATGTGGTGCCTATATTGCTCGTAGAGAGCAACAATGGTTGGTACAATTTTTAATGACACTTCGTAATGATTTTGAAAGACTTAAAGGTTCAATTTTGCATTGTTCTTCACTTCCTTCTGTTGACTCAATTGTCAGTGAGTTATTTGCTAAAGAGATACGTCTTAAGTCTTATTCTGACAAGGGAATTCTTTCTACTTCTAATCCTTTTATGCTAGCAGTACCTTTTAAACCATTCTCTCATAATCAGAATAAGCCTTACACAAGGCCTGCCTTCGACAAGTGCAGTTCTATAAGCAGAAAAGTCATTGGAAGACTCAATGTCCTAAGTTAAGACAGCAGAATCAATCGCAGCAGCAATCTCAAGCTTGGAAGTCTGGCAACCAATCAAATCTAATGCTCCTAGACCACCTCAGGGTTACAAACCACCACAGTCTAATACTGCAGCAGTAGTTTCATCAAGTCCTTTCACCAATTCCAATACCTTGGCTGAACAATTTCAGAAGTTTCCCTCCTTACAGCCACAAGCTATGTCTGCTTCTTCTTCAGGAGGTCAGTTGCCTCATAGTTCTCCAGATATGTCACATTCTGTATAGGTCTTGGATTCTAGTGCCTCACATCATATATCTCCAGATTCTTCATCTCTTGCTTCTATATCTCTTTCATATTCTATTCTTGTTATGACTGCTGATGGCACTTCTATGCCTTTAGTAGGTGTTGGTTCTGTTATCACACCTCACTTGTCTCTCCCTAATGTTTATCATATTCCAAAACTCACATTAAATCTTGCTTCTGTTGGTCAGTTATGTGATTCTGAAAATTTGGTCACCTTTTTCTCTTCTTCTTGTTATGTGCAGGATCTGCAGTCTCAGAAGCTGATTGGGACAGGCCGTAGGAAGGGGGACTATATATTTTAAATGAGTTAAAAGTGTCAGTTGTTGCTGCTGCTACTAGTGTTGATTTATTTTCTTTTCATTTGAGTCCTTCTTCTTCTAGTTTTTATTTATGGCATTCTAGTTTAAGTCATCTTTCGTCTTCTCATTTGAGATTTTTGGCATCCACAGGGGCTTTAGGAAATTTGAAAACTTGTGATATTTCTAATTGTAGTGGATATAAATTGGCAAAATTTTCAGCTTTACCTTTTAATCGAAGTTTTTCTATTTCTTCTTCTCCATTTGATTTGATTCATTCTGATGTATGAGAACCTTCTCCTGTTGCCACAAAAGGAGGGTCTCGAAATTATGTTTCTTTTATTGATAATCATACTCGTTATTGTTGAATTTATTTAATGAAACATCGTTCTGAATTCTTTGAGATATATACAGCCTTTCGAGCTCTTGTCAAAACTCAACATTCTGTTGTTATCAAATGTTTTAGGTGTGATTTGGGTAGGGAATACACTTCTAATAAATTTGTTGAGTTACTTGCCTTAGATGGAACTATTTACCAAACTTCGTGTACAGATACTCCTGAGCAAAATGGTGTTGCTGAAAGAAAGCATAGGCACATTGTTGAAACTGTTCGTTCTCTCTTGCTGTCTTTTTCTATTCCTAGTGAGTTTTGGGGTGAATCTGTTCTTACTGCTGTAACTTTGATTAATATAATTCCATCTTCTCATATTTCAAGTGTTTCTCCTTTCGAAAAGTTGTATGGGTATGCCCCTGATTATTCTTCATTTAGAGTTTTTAGTTGTACTTGTTTCATTCTTCGTCCTCATGTTGAACGCAACAAGCTGTCATCTCGATTTGTTATTTGTGTCTTTCTTGGATATGGTGAAGGTAAAAAGGGGTATCGTTGTTTTGATCCAATAACTCAAAAACTTTATGTGTCTCGTCATGTTATTTTTCTTGAGCATATACCTTTCTTTTCTATTTCATCAACTACTTATAACTTGATTAGATCTGATCTTATTCGTATAGATCCTTTTTCTAAGGATTCTGATAGTTTGTCATCTCAGGTTTTTAATACTTCAAATAGCAGCACTGATCATTCTACAGGTACTGACACTTTACTCTCTAGCACACCTGAAGCTACCTCCTCTCCTATGGTCCCTCAAGCTCCGTCTGAGATTGTGGATCTACCTCTACGTCAATCCACACGCATTCGTAAGTCCACAAAGTTACCAGATTTTACTTATTCTTGTTATTCTTCATCTTTTACTTCCTTTTTAGCTTCTATTCATTGTCTCTCTGAGCCCTCTTCCAATAAAGAGGCAATTCTTGACCCTCTTTGACAACAAGCTATGGATGAGGAACTTTCTGCTTTGCATAAGATAGGTACTTGGGATTTGGTTCCTCTACCTCTTGGTAAGAGTGTTGTTGGTTGTCGGTGGGTGTATAAAATTAAGACCAATTCTGATGGATCTGTTGAGCGATACAAAGCTAGGTTGGTTGCAAAAGGGTACTCTCAACAGTATGGTATGGATTATGAGGAGACATTTGCTCCTGTTGCAAAAATGACTACTATTCGTACTCTTATTGCAGTTGCTTCGGTTCATCAATGACATATCTCTCAACTTGATGTTAAAAATGTCTTCTTGAATGAGGATCTTCAAGAAGAAGTTTATATGGCTCCCCCTCCTGGTGTTTCACATGATTCTGGGTATGTTTGCAAGCTCAAGAAAGCGTTATATGGTCTCAAACAAGCACCTCATGCTTGGTTTGAGAAATTTTCTATTGTGATCTCTTCCCTTGGGTTTACTTCTAGTAGTCATGATTCTGCTCTTTTTGTTAAGTGCACTGATGCAGGTCGTATCATTCTGTCTTTATATGTTGATGACATAATTATTACTGGTGATGATATTAATGGTATTTCAGTTTTAAAGACAGAGTTAGCTAGACAGTTTGAGATGAAGGATTTGGGTTCTCGACGATATTTCTTGGGTATTGAGGTAACCTGCTCACCCCGAGGTTATCTTCTTTCTCAGTCAAAATATGTTGTAGATATTCTTGAGCGAGCAAGACTTACTAATCATAAGACTGTAGATACTCCCATTGAGGTTAACGCAAAGTATTCCTCTTCTGATGGTTTACCTTTGTCAAATCCCACTTTATACCGTACTATTGTTGAGAGCTCGGTATATCTCACTATTACTCGTCCAGATATTGCATATGTTGTTCATGTTATTAGTCAATTTGTTGCTTCTTCTACTACAGTTCATTGGGCAGCGGTTCTTTGTATTTTGAGGTATCTTCGGGGTACAGTCTTTCAGAACCTTTTACTTTCATCCATCTCTTACTTGGAGCTGTGCGCATACACTGATGCTAATCATGGCAGTGATCCCACAAATCGCAAATTTGTTACTGGTTTCTGTATCTTTTTTGGTGATTCTCTTATTTCTTGGAAAAGCAAGAAACAATCTGTTGTTTCTCAATCTTCAACCGAAGCAGAATATCGTACTATGGCATCTATTACCAAAGAGATTGTTTGGTTACGTTGGTTACTTGTAGATATGAGAGTTTCTCTTTCTCATCCCACTCCTATGTATTGTGACAACTGGAATTCTATTCAGATTGCTTATAACTCGATTTTTCATGAACGAACTAAGTACATTGAAATCGATTGTCATCTTACTCGTCATCATCTCAAGCATGACACCATTACTTTGCCTTTTGTTTCTTCTTCTTTGCAGATTGCAGATTTCTTTACCAAGTCGCATTCTATTTCCCGTTTTCGTTTTCTAATTGGCAAACTCTCGATGTTTGTCGCTGCTACATCGTGAGTTTGAGGGGAGATGTTAAGAAATATAGGGTTATTTTGTTTATTAAATGTAGAATAGTCATTTACTTTCCCTGTCTTGTTTAGCTTATATATAGTCTCTTTGTATTTAGGTTAAATTATTTCCTTGTATTTCACTTTAATTATGCAGTATCAATAAAATTTTAGTCTCTTCTTTTCTTATCTCTTGTATTTCTTTAGATTGTTCAACGGTAAGAATTACTCGATTTCCAAATCCTTCATCTGGAAGAGAGACATTGATTTCCTCCCAGAGTTTACTGCTCCATACATCATCCAAGACAACTAAGTAAGCAGTGTACTAACCAACTCTCTGAATCCCATCATGTTTAAATTGGTAGGAACTGCTTCCTTGGTAGCGCCGTAGAATTCCTCAATCATTCTTCTCAGTAAATCATCAACAACATATTTTTGGGAGACAGTGATCCACGCCTGACAATCAAAATGCCGTTTTACTATTCGGCTATTGAAGGCCTTGGAGACTAGAGTGGTCTTACCCGAACCACCCATTCCTACCACTGAAATAACAGTACTGCATTGCTGTTCTTCGTCCGTCAGCCATTTGACAAGAAGTTTATTATCATCCTCAATCCCCACCAACTTGTCCTCCTTGATAAAGAAAGATGACTCTGCATAGTTAAACAATGTTTTTTGAACATCAATAGAGCTCGTTCCTTCTATTTGTTCGATAGCCAAACGTTTTCTTCTTTCATAAGTGAATTTGATCTTTCTCTTGATCTTTTGTAACTTTGTGGCGATTCGATGCTTCACCCATAGATTCTTTGGAAGGCAAATTGTCTGGTAAAGAAGCCTACTGAATTTGTCCCCATTATGTTGCTTGTTCATGTGATACATGAACTCATCTATAACATCTTCAACCTCATTTGCTAGGTCTCTGATGCTAGCCACCCATGTGCTCTCTGCTTTAGTGAGGACCCCTTTTTTATCAGCATCTTGTAGAAAAGCTTTCATGCCTATAAACTCCTCCTTGATTTCATCAAGCTCATCTCTAAGCCCTCTGATCAATGATGCTTCGTTCTCAGTGGCCAACACTATCTTGCCTATCAACAAGTCTGCAGTAGTGGAGGCTAGGATTGCTTCCATCTTTCAACTTTCCTTCGTTGCACCTTGCTACCTTGTTGATTGTTCTTCTTTTTTTGGTTTAGTTTTTTTTTTTTTTGGGCTTAACTGCAAAGGAAAATGTATGTCAGTCTTGGACACAACTGAAATAAGAATATACTGAGCCAATTTTTATAAAAATGAGGCAAAGTCATTGGAGGCAGGTCGTGGTCTCCAATCTACATCGTCCCATCTATTTTCTAATTTTTGGGGAAGGCTAATATTTTCAATTTACATGCATTTATTTTATTTATTTTGGTAAGTTTCTTTTCTTCAGAAACTTTTTTAATATTTTCAGGACACTGTTTTGTGGGATAAGTTTGATCATGTAATCTTCTTCCACCACGAAAAACCTATACGATTTGTGTATGAAATTTTGTTTTTATTGTTTAATTTTCTTAGCAAATGTATCTAGGAAAGGATTGTCTCTAGAAATCATCTTGCACTCTCCAAAGAAAAATACTATTGAGACCTAATTTAATATAATCTTTGGATTGAAATAAGGTTGCAACTAACACTGTAATTTATAATTGATTTAATGACTACATTGAATTAGGTCTCCATAATATTACCCTTCTTCAAATATTATTTGGAAGTTGAGTAGGAAATTTCAAAGATCACGTGTAATTTTGTCTCATACGAGATGATATTTGCGCTTGAGAACATGTAAATCTAAACTTGCAATGTAGTTTTTCGAATGGTATTATTTGGACAATATTTGTTAGGACTAATTTCAACTTGTATTTTGAAAGATTATTCGAATTTTAATTTACAATCTCAAAATTTAAAAATATTAATTTACACTCTGAAAGATATAAATACGTATCAATGTACATCTGAGACTAACTGTTATCTATTTTGCCATTAAAAAAGTTTGGGTTAATTATAAATTACAACCTTCAAAATTTAAATATTTCACATTTATAATCCAAATTTTTTTTATCAATTAATGCTCGTTAAATAGCTCTCAATTGTATCATATCATAACATTTTCGTGTTGTGTTCGAGTCAATAAAAAAATATTTTTAACAAAAAATATTTTCGTATCGAGTCAATTGTGTTGTGTCTTATATTTCATATTTACGACAATTCATTTAATCCTATTTAATATTTTTTTTAAAATTAAAAATACCAATTTTTCGTTTATAATTAAAGAACTATTTTTTATCTACAGTTATTTTATTCGTATTTAACTTTAATTAGATCAGACAATCAAAGGATTTGTGTCTAACTGTAAATAGAAAATAATTATTTAACGAATATTGTTGGTAAAAAATAGGTATTTTATAATTTTTTTAAAATTTTAAAAATATTTTTTTATTGATTCGAACACGACACCAAAATGTTATGATACGATATAATTGAGAGTTATTTAACGGACATTAATGGATGGAATTATTTTTAGATCATAACTATGAAATATTTAAACTTGAAGGGTATAATTTATAATTTATCTAAAATTTTTTAAGGAAAAAATGGATAGAGTTAGTCTCGGGTGCACATTAATACGAATTTATATCTTTCAGAGTGTAAATTAATATTTTTAAACTTTGAGGATATAAATTAAGATTTGTGTGATCTTTCGGTACAAGTTGATATTAGCCCAAAAAATTAATACAAATTTTTAGTTTGTTGTTGAATTAATAGTGAATTCAAATATTATTTTGGGACCTGCAGTAGAACACTCTTACCACCAACAACATTTCAAAGCTTGGATGACTAATCATTATACCACCTTGTACATCACTTCTACAATGAAATATTGAATACAACGATGATACCTTAAATAAAACATAGCACAAGTAAGAGCCCAAAAGCACAAAATTTTTAAAAAATTTGAAAGTAGGAACACCTTGAGAGTGTCACATAATATACATACATACATATTTACATATATAAAAACTATTAAAAAATATAATTTTATATGCAAATATATGATAAATGATTTAAATTTATTTAAAGCAAAAAAGATTTCTTGTTAAAAAAAATAAAATCAAAAAGCTTTGAAAGACAAAAGCATTCAAAGGCATTTTTATGCCTAGCAGTTGATCCCACGTCGAATAGCCAAGAAAACTTACCACCAGTCCTAGTCGGGCATGTGCAGTGATGATCCTTTAAGCTCGAAAGCCTTCTTTTAGGTGAGTTTAGCAAGGAGAAGTTGATCTTTTTGAATGTTTCGGTAGTCTTTGGGATTTTAACCCCCAGTTATAGTGTAATTGTTGAGTTTGCAAATTGAGTTTTTGAATTTACAAATTCAGTGAAGTGGGAGCGTTAACTCGAGTCGAATTCACTTTGAATTTGCGATTAAAGCTCGAAGCGAAAGAATGTGTAGTATAGCTGGTGAATCTTATGATTAAGGTGATATCACTAATCAATAATAAAATACTAAGTGAGTAAGGTGAACCTCACTTAGGTAATTTTTTGCTTACATGAAGGAAGAGTTAATAGTTATTTGCTTACGTAGAGAGTTGATTATTAATTTTTAGTGGGACCTATTAACCTATTTATTTTGATATTATAAATTAGTAATACAACGTCAGCATTGTCGCGTGATATCACCGTTATAATGAATATTTTATCCACTTCTACATAGTCTAGGTGTTAGTAAGATCCACCATTTCATACTAATTATGGCTAAAATGTTTGAAAAATCATTTAGATTCCAAACTAAATATTTCAGATGCATTTTCATTTGATTTTAAAATCTGTTAATTCACGGTTAGGTTTATGATATGCATTTAGCATTTCCGTAGAATTTCATTTACATTTCAAACTACATTACTCTTTGTTTTGTTTTTTTAGGTAAGCAAACCACATTACCAGTCATATTCACGCAAAGGATATCTACAATATTTACTCAAATTTTGACTTAAAGTTAAATTTGAGATAAAACACGCTAAAAATAAGCTTTAGTATTTTATTAAAATTTATACCAAAATAAAGGAAGACTCAAATTTTCACTTAAATTAAGAAAGCTTCAAAGTTTTATTCAAATCTCCAACGATCATATTTCATAATACTTTATGTATCTAACAGTTATATTTACGATCCTTTATGCATCTCTCTACTCTATTTTTATCTTTCTTATTTTTTAATTTCTGTTAAATTTATTGATAAGTTTAATAAGTAAGACCACTAAAAATCCAATCATTTACCACCAGTATCATTTGTCAATGTTAGATTGGATAATTTTTCTTAAAATTTTAGGAATCAACGATTATGTTTATTTTAAAACCTTGAACTCGACTCAACAAAACTTTAATCTACACTATTTGGGATTGGCTACATTAATTTTATTTCTCCATTATGCTCTATCAAGGGCTATATGTTTTGTTAATTTTACTCTAGTTTGTAGTTAATTTCTATTTTACCTTCATCAATCAATACTATATCATCGACAAATAATATAAATTATGAAACCTCATCCTGAATATATCTGGTCAATTCATCTATAATTAAGGCAAAGAAATAAAGACTTAAAAGCAGAACCTTGATGTAGGTCTAGCGTAATTAGAAACTCCCTACTGTCTCCTGCAATTACTCTAACTAAGGTCACTGCATTCTCATACAAATTCTTAATCATATATATCAATATATCTATTTGTAACTATCTTTTCTCTCAAACCTGCCATATGTCCCTAGGCACTATCATGTGTCTTGTCTAAGTCTATAAATGCAATATGAAGATCTCTCTCTCTCTCTCTCTCTCTCTCTCTCTCTCTCTCTCTCTCTCTCTCTATATATATATATATATATAGCTTTCCTCATGTCTTCTAAGTAAGCATATAACATCAATAGTTGACATTCCAATCATAAACCCAAATTGATTATCAATTATTTCAAGTCTTCGTCTTTGTTTGATCTTTCACAAAGTATCACTGAATGACTCATTAACTTACTCTCTCGATAGGTTGTGCAATTTAGAATACCCCCTTTGTTTTTGTATATACGTATTAAAATACTCTTCCTCTACACATTTGACATCTTCTTAGTTGTTATAATCTTGTTAAATAATAGAGTTACCAAAGATACCCCCGACATCTTTTAAACACTTCCAAACCTCAATTGGCACACTATCCAATTTAATTTTCATTTTCCTTAATGCATTCTTTACTGCAGACATCCGAATTCTATGAAAAAACCTATTTTCATTAATCTCCCTATTAAAAATTTGATTATAATTGACTAATTTCGTGAAGTCTTGTTATAAATCTCAACATAATTCTATTGTCATGATACTTCAAAAATCAAGTTCTTAAAGCATCAAGGAAGGAAGGAGTTCAAGCTACAAAATCAAATCAAGAGATCTCCAATGCACCTTCAATACTTAGAACAAAGGTAATGACCTAAATACCTAAAAACCCTTACTTTATTTTTAGACTTTGGATTATTAGATTAATAGAATTGAAATTAGGAATATCTGTGACCGACTCTTAGGCTTTTCATGATATAAGATTTTCTAAGTTTTAAATGTGTTTTGGCCTTTGTAGTTTCTAAATTTTGACCCTTTTTTTCTTCCTCCGAAACTGTCAAAAATCTGAAAGATTTGAGCTTTCAAACAGTGTTTCATTGAGAAGCTATAGACATGGAAAATGTTTGTGGTTGTTGTAGCAAAGATGAAAAAATGGAATTGCCTCCAAATTCTGAAAACCCCCTCCCCAAATTCTGAACCCCTCTCCCCTCAATTTTGAAAACTCTCTTAGTTTTATGTATAATATAATATTTACATTTAGACCCTATCAAATATTAATATAAGTATTTTTGAAAATCTTATATTTATAAGACGTATTGTGCAATTGATTTTTGTTATTTAAAGTGGATGACTGTTAAATTGTCATTAAATTGTATTATTTAAAGTTTGATTAGAATTATTATTTTGTCATCCTTTCCCATTGATTCCTATAATTACACTTTGACCCACTTTTTTTATTGTACTTCACAATTTCATGTAATGGTAATCAACTATAACACTTTGTTGGAGTCGA